CAAGGATTCCAAAGTGTATGTTGTCAGATGCTACAAAAAAGCTATGAGACCTGTCATCCTTTGTGCACCAAATGTGGCACTAAAAAACCTTCAGCAAATACAGCAGTGCCAGGTAGGGTCACAGGAGCAGAGATTATACCTTCTGATTATCTTTCTTCACAGTGTATCAGAAATTTAAACTGTTACACAGAGATTAATGACAGATCTTAGTTTCATTCTGTGAAAGCAAAATTCTCATACTCTGTGCCAGAAGATGCCTTTGAGATAGATATGTAGATATATATATATACACTGGCATGAAATAAAAAGACTTACTAATACAACTTCAAACAGAAGGTGGGATTTTAAACTTACAGAAGGTACAAAATGTAAAGTTACAATTCTGCAGTTCCTATGGGCTCACTCCTGCAAGGTTCTGTACTGTGGTTATGCTCCAATAAGGAAGTGAAACATGACAGCAGTCTCACTAATTTCAAAGCATATACTCATGCAATTTAATTTAAGCAACTTGCTTAAGCACTGCACTTATTCAAAAGATCACTAGGCACTTTGCAGATCCAGGACCCTTATGGGTAAGGAGAACATCAGTCATGTAGTGTTAAGGTCAAAAAATTTTCCTTACAAACCACACATGCAATCATTTAGAACTTTCTGGTATTACCAGATTTAGTGAGTATCCCTACAGGTGCTCAGTTATTTGGAAAAGATAATGTAGCCACTTGGGGGTACAAGAAATGGTTAAAAAAAGAGAAAAATTAACCAAAACTCCTTTCTACTGCTTACATTCTAAGAAGGTTTAGAGGAAAAATTAAAATGTTTTCCATTAAAAGTAAGAAGTGGGAATTTAGGAAACTAAGATAGTTCTGAAAACAGACTTCAGAAAAATCACTTGCTGTTCACATAAAACCTGTCTGACAGTGTTTTGACACATATCATCAGAGGTGGAGATTTTGCATCACTTTGCACAAACTCCAGCTAAAGTAGCTGCATAATAAAGGCTCACATATTGAGAGAAAATGCCTGAAAACTGTCTGAAAGATGAGCAGAACAGAAACTGCTCTGAGGCATCATATCAACCATACTGCCAGAGATGCACTTGCTCGATTTCATTTCTGCACCTCAGCTGCTCCTGAAGTTCAAAGCTAAGAAGGCCTCCTTCCCACAGAACTGCCAAGAGAAGAAGACAAGCTGAAGGTGATACAGTTCCGGTCTCCTCCCTGAGTATTAGAGCTACCTACGGTACTGCCTGTCACCTGTCAGGGGGCAGGGAACAACTGAGCAGCTCCCTTTCATCACTGTGGCAGCAAATATCGAGAGAGAAAACATATGAGCTTTCTTAATTTTCTGTTAAAATAAGGTTGTATTTAACTGCTTCGCACTCTGCACCATATCTAAAAACTGTGTTGAGAAAGTTTTTCTCCTTAAAATCCTAGTTCATTTGTAAGTACCAAGACAATGTGAGAATACAATGTTTCCTTGTTCAGCTATTCTAGAATACAAACGTTGAACTCTGAATAAAAGATACATAATGATTAATGATAACACATCCTGGAAGGCAAATCATTTTAGCATCCACCCCATCCCCTCCTTTGAGATGAAAAGACTGGAAGAAAAGAAAGCCCCAGGAAAGCCCCTCGGAGAAAACTTGGCTGGAGTTTTCACATTTTATGTGATTAAGCAACAAAACCAAATCCCAGAAAAGAGCTAAAAATTGGACTATAACTGTATATGTGTTCTTGAAACAGGTCAGGAATTTTGAACTAAGTTTTGAGCAAACCTGGCAAGACCTAATGACTGAAAACAAAATATTAACCAGGTGGTTGTTGCTGAAGTTATTGATATATGTAACTCACATCAAGCAGTTTTAAAGTGTGTCTCAAAATTTGTGAACACATTGTAATATGCTGTAAGATGGGACCAGAATTGGAGGGCTCATGCTTTTGAAATCACAACTCATACAGGAGAAACTAAAGAATACACAGTTGACTCGATGTAAGCACAGATATTAAATACTTAACAGGATGACCTTAATGTTCTCTTTAGCAAAAAACCCCAACCCAAAAACAAAAACAAACAAAAAAAACAAAAACAAACAAAAAAACAAACAAACAAACAAAACCTAACACTGAAAACACGTGTACACAGAGTGTGCTATAAGGTAAATCACCAGTTTATGGAAACTTGTAATGTCTTTTATGGATGACTCTCCAGCTCAGCTCGTATTGCATCTCTGAAATTCCTGCCTCTAAGTCCAATCTCTCTTCACAGTAACACTATTTTCAACATGGCATATTGCAGAATCACAGAATCAGGTTGGAAATGACCTCTGGGATCACTGAGTCCAACCTGTGACTGAACACCACCATGTCAACCAGACTGTGGTACCAACTGCCACGTCCAGTCTTTTCCTAAACACCTCTAGGGGTGGTGATTCCACCACCTCCCTGGGCGGTCCATGCCGATGTCTAATCACCCTTTCTGTGAAGAAATTCCTTCTAATGTCCAATCTAAACCTCCCCTGGAGCAGCCTAAGACTATATCTAGCACTTTAGATAATACTGACAGTGTTCAATTATACACCTTGACATAATAATTTACTATGTAGAGCTCAACAATGAGAAGAGGCTTTTTGTACCAGATGTGTTTAGTCTCTCACAAAGATGTTAAGATCAGAGGCCCTGTAAGAATTCGTATAAGAATGTAAGTGGCATTTTTAAACTTGTGAATATATTTTTGATATTCAGTTCCACATGTCTTTTAAGGGCTAGATATGAGTGACAAAAACACACAAAAGAAGAGATGGAGGATAAGGGTAATGGCAAAAAGATGACATCACTACAATAAACAGAGAAACTAGATAGTCTTAAAGGTCCCAGATCACTGTATCATAAAGAAGCAAATTTAAGTATGTGAATATAAACAGACTCCACTGATCTTCAGCCACCCACTATTATTCAACAATTTCTAGAAGTCTTCCTGGTAAAAGAGCCTTTTAAAGAGGAAAGGAGTGTAGGAAAATATCTTCATATTGTATAAACAGATTACGTAGGCAGAAGACACAACAGTAATGCAAGTTTAAGGCAGCAGAATTGTGCTTGCTTTCAAAAATTTAACTTTGTATTTCCCACCTATCTGCAGATCTGAGGCGACACTTCGTTGCCAAAGAAGTGGCTGCACCAGACTGTTTCCTTGTCTACATGTTCAATAAATTGCACCCAAGACTGTTTGAGAAAGCTAAGTAACAACTTTCCATTAAACCTTCTAAATTGCATTAAATATGTCAAGAAGAGCAAATGTGATGGATTTACTTGATCAAAACCAACATGAATTCTACAAACCCCAAGATGACCCAGCTGATAAGAAGTCCTTGTACAGAACACAGCAGTCCACCCAACATCAACGTGAATTTCACTTTGGGTACAGTCTGACCCCTGTACACAACCAAAACGAAAGTCAAGTGGCTAGTAAGACAAATCTAGATTTCAGGCAGCAGTAGCAGAATGATGTCCTCATATTTTTTTAAGAATAATTTTTACTGTGTTTATTTAATTTGGGCTTTTTTTCAACAGGTCTGCCAGTTAGAACTTAGTCCCATTGCTCGAACTGAATCTATTCCTAGGGCATACACCCCTTCCTCAGGCAATTACAGGGTGGAAAGTAAAACCAAAGTCAGTTATCAAGATTTTTATCTTCTTAGTTACAAACACCTGGAAATTAGAAATTACAACATAATGGCAGGGCAGTAATAATTTTATGGCTATGTAGGGAGTGAAAATTACACTGTTTTGTGGTCTACAACTTGGTATGTTCATTTGTAGAGCAGTGCTAAGATCTATTACACTCAGAGATCAGTGCTAACACTCAAATCCAAAATCTTAAAACCCATAAAGATGAGAAACAAATATATTGAGCCCTCAAGCTCTAATCCTAGGGAGCCTTGAGACACCAGATCTAAAGTTCACCTTGTCAAACATGTCCTCACACCCCATAAATCTCTATAGGGAAGTAATCTGAAGCCCAGCGAAATCACTGGGCAAATTCCTTGTGCTACTTTCAGTGGGGTTTGAAGGGCTCAAAAAAACCCCAAAACTCAAGGAGAGCTACAGGAGAGCATCCAGAATATCCTTTTCCAATGGTATAAATCATTAATCTATGACTCCTGAAGTTCCTGAGATACCAGTTTATGTCGAAATCAAAATGTAGGGTGGGAGGGAATAGGTACAGGGGTCAAGGGACAGCAAGCAGAATAATATGATTTCAAAACATAATCATGACTGGGAAGAGTGACACAAATAGTGTCAGAGCTCATGAACTTTCCTAGAACTAGTAATCAGAGTGATATTTTAATGGCTGCTATATGTGTGGGGCAATAAAAGCATACAATTTTGTTGTGTTGCATAAATAACAGAACTGTTCACTCTCCAAGTTCTCTGGTAATTCAAGCAGAAATAACTTGAAATTTTAACACTAGAAAAATTATGTGAATTAAGAAAACCAGATTTTACTAAGTTGCAGTGTTTCACGGTGCGTGCACGAAAGCTGTAAACCTGAGAACACATACAGTAAGCATTTTCAACAATATAGTTCTACGATTAAAGCAAAGGTCTTCTTAGAGTTGCAACACATCCTAAGTTGTGAAACAGGAGCAATTTGTTTAAGTGACAAATGAAAACAGCTTACCTAATCCTTTCAGAAGATCCTATCAATTAAGAAAATAAATGCAAAAGGTCTTCAAATGACAAAGCCCACCTTACAAACAGAATATGGGATTTTCATGAGATTTGTATTCAAACACAGAAGGAACTGTGGGAGTCTAAATAAAATTACCAAAGTCATTACACTGGCCTTTTTTCTACACAGACATCAATTTAAACAAGTTTTTAAGTAAGAATACTCACACCAGTTTAAGCCATAACTGGCAGTTCTATATTTTAGGGCAGTTAGTCACATCTTACCATTTAGCATTCAAAGAATTTTTTTTTTTTTTAAATCAGACTTACATTGTTTTTTCATCTCTTTAAGCTGATCCATGAAATACATATATTTTTCATTGCTTTTCAAATCTGAGTCACTGTTCTCACTCTCAATTGCAGTTAATTTTTCTTGCACCAACTTTTCTAAATCTGGTATAATTTCTGGTTTTTCTCGTTTTACCTGTAAGGAACAAGAAATAGAATGTTACTCATTATGACACATTTTAATACAAAGCAAAAAACATCAAGTAAAAATTCATTAGCATAATCTCAGTTTCTTTTGACTACAGTTAGGCTTCCTGCTCTGAAGCCATAACCTCCAGGTAATTATTCATTTCAGTAAAAGTAACTATGAAACGTAGAGATTAACTTCTCAGTATCATTCAACTCAGTTTCTGGATATTTCTCACACTAACAATAAGGAAAACCGAACCTTGCAGTCAAATTTACTTCCCTGAGTAGAGAAAGTAAACATGTTAACAACAACCAGCATGACATGGCATGAATGAAAACAAAGAATAAAACTCTGTCCAGAAAGTGAGATGATTAAAAAGCAGTAAGAGTTTTCTTAAAACCTCCACTCTCTCACTATTTTGGAGTCAGCTTTACAGAAGCTTCTAATCTACATGCATGATTAGTGTTATAACACCAGCAAAAGCAGTACAGAGGCTAATGTGAAAAGAAACCACCCCAATTTATTTGTGCTGTGTGAACAAGAAGCATTATGCCACACAGGCAGGCAAAAATACAGTTTCTTGAAAAGTACTCGTTTGCAGCAATTACATCTGGATTAATATAAAGAATAAATACCTATAAATAAAAGGGAGGTCATCACATAGGCAATGTTAAGATATTCTAAGAATGCAAAAAGCACTTTGGGAACCCCCTAAAAACAGTAAATTGGGGTTTTCCCTTCTTTTTCTCAAACCAAAATTAAATTCTAGGGAACTGTACCTTTGACAGGACTTCAAGAGTACTGGATTACAGGTGGTGTGGACTGTGCTGTGCAATGATGGTCAGCAACAGCACAAAGTTGGAAAGAAGGTGGACATCTGTCAAAGCCTTAATGCTAAGCATCTTCTGAATCAAAGGCCATTTCTATCCCAAAATTGTGACAAAACAGGACAAATTGAAAAAAAAAAAGGAAGTATGCACCATTTCTGGTGAGCTACTCTTCCCCTACCACACACATTAAATTCTGCCCCTCACCATACCATGCTACTACTCATTGTGAAAGACGTGAGAAGAGGCTACTGAGAAAAAAACAGACCACCCCATCAAATCGTTTACAGCTTTGTAAGTTTACAGAGATCTTGGAAATCCTACAGATATTTTATTTCAGGAGCCAAAAGAATAATAAATGTTGATATAAAAATGGACTCTGAAGATATATAAAATGCTACAAGAAAACTTTACTTTCCCTTAATCAAAACAAAGCAATCCATAAAACTATTACTTCTTCCAGGAGTAGAGCCAGTTTGGCACATTCACTTTAGGTAGATACAAGTCGTGGCAAGAAGAAAAATAAGAAAAAAAAATGCACTGCCAGGTGATAGCATGCAGTTTTCAAAGGCACCTGGAGATAAAAAAATCACCAACCACAACATCCAATTGTGAATGGGAACACCTTGGTACCAACACAGTGACTATGAAAGAGTAACAGCACATCATTAGGGATGTTCAGACTGCTGCATAAAGCCAAGCAGTAGCACAGAGTCCTTATTCTATGAAATCTGACAAAACGAGCAAAAGAAAACAGAACATTCTGTGTCCAGTGCAGTGGGGACAATTGTACACACTCAAATGAGTTGCCTGTGTCAGCATCACAGCAAACTGCTGCAACAGAGGGCCTGTCACAAACTCAACCAGAACAGTTCAATACTCAGCTGGAGGAGATACTTGGCCTTCAGAGGTAAGGAAGCACAAGAAAACAGTTACTAAATAAAAATACATTTAAAATACAAGATGTTACAGAAGGATGATTTGATCCAGACCGCATATAGTGCAAACATACTTCCTTCTGCAACATCAGGTTGTTTTTACCAACATTCCAACATTTTCTCTTTAACATAAAAATAACATGAAGTCACACTCACTGCCCAAATAACAATCCACCTCTAAGATCTTCCCTCATCATGAATGAGAGCACTAAGGCCAGATCCCATATGGAAGGTCCAGCTGTGTATACTAAAAGAGACCCTGCAGTGCTTCTAAGTTGCTGATACTGACATGAAGAGTAAAAGAAATTATGTGGACATTCATCACAGGCATCCACTGGTAGCAAAGACAGTATCAATAATCTTTTCCTCTCCACAGGCACAACATTACACATGGACATAGTTACATCAGGCTCTTTTTATCTTTTTCTTGACTCATGGAAGATTTGAGTGCAGGTATGCATCAACATACCATCTTCAATCATACCCTCGGAGTGAAAGGTGAAAAGAAGGGCACAGCCAAGGTTAGTTCAGAGTGGTGCTCCCTACTCCAGCTTCCAGAATTAAAAGACTTTACACATATGAGCAGAGAAAAGGCAGCAACTGCAACTTATAGTGCTATGCTAGCAAAAAGGACATATGTGTGAGAAACTGTTACACCACTCTGCACTGGCGAGGTCCCACCTCAAGGCCTGTGTGCAGCTTTGGGTGCCACAATGTAAGAAAGATATAAATCTATTAGAAAGCAGCCAAAAGGAGGGCCACAAAGATGGTGAACAGTCTACTAAAGCCATACGTGGAGTGGCTGAGGTCACTTTGTTTATTCAGCACGGAGGAGACTGAGGAGAGACCTCATTGCAGTCAGCAGATTCCTCATGAGGGGAAGCAGAAAGGCAGGCACTGCTCTTTGCTCTCTGGTGATCAAGGATAAGACCTGAGGGAATGGTATGAAGCTGTGTCAGAGGAGATTTAGGTTGGATATTAGTAAAAGGTTCTCCATGCAGAGGCTGGCCAGGCACTAGAACAGGCTCCCTGCAGCACCAAGCCTGTCTGAGTTCAAGAAGTGTGATTCTTGGGGTTGTCTTGTGCAGGCCCAGGAGCTGGACTCGATGATCCTTGTGTGTCCCTTCTACTTCAGGATACTCTGTGATTCCATGATTCTGTGATATGCAGCTTTGTCTGTTCCACTGTGGAGCTACAGAAATTTGCATATAGACATCTGTACCAACTTCAAGAAAGCACTTATATAAAACCCTCCTTTACCTACATAAACTATAATCACACAGCTTGCTGTCACAGATCCATCAAAGTAACAGCTAGCATGCTATTTGCTAAAGGCAACATGAAAAATTTTACCAGCTATCAAGAGGAAAAAAGTCTTTCCCACCAGCTACAGCGTGAGGACAGTCTAGCAACACAGCACGTATGACAAAGGCTCAGACAACCATCCAATACAGAAACCTAAAGAGTCAGGTGAGAGAGATGCCCAAAGAATGCTCTTTCCTGTAGTTGAACTTCTTTCATGTTTACAATTTAAATTCAGTTTCTGTTCACCTCCACATGATTGCTTTCATTAAAATGATTAGTAGAGACACCATTCCTGACCACACTCAATACTGTACCATCACGTATGCTATTACTGAAATGCCAGCCAGACCTTCTGGAAGGTCAACACATCACAGGTGAATAACAAGGCATGTCCACCCACTATAATAACAAGTAAATATGTTTGCTGTGCACAAGCAATTCCTCTTTGGTGCTGCATATCCTATTCCATGAAGAGGGTTGAGAATGGCCTGGCACAACAACATAAATGAAAACAAATGTAAGAAAATGTGCCATTAGTCCTAGATCCTCACAGTGGACAGAATTACAACATCTTATACACTGCATCAGCACAACATCCTTACAGGTACATCACAGTTTTCTTAGTTCTCGCCACCCACCCACTCCTACTCTACAGATTCTTGATGGATGTAGGAATGATGAGATCAGCATAACAAAATGTATGGGGACAATACAGACATAGGATATGGCTAAGGGACAGGGCAAAACTATCAGTATTCAGGGCAACAAGTTGGGGTCACGCTCCTTTTTTGTCTCAACAGCAAGCCAGATAAACGCTTATCAGCAGACCTGAAGGCATTGCCATGTTCAATTTCTCAGAAAAAGTTACTTCACATGGGAACCATGAAAGACATATTAAGCAAACAACTGTTCATTTAGCAGCACTGTCAGCCAAAACCAGCATGGTAAGTAACACCTTGCAGTTATTAGTCAATCCATGGAGAGCTACATTGATTTTGAAATGGGGTGGAGGCATACACACCCTACAAGGCATCCTGGAAATTACATGTAACGATGAACTGGGAGTGTTCAGGACATATGGTGAAAAGAAGTATCAGTCACAACAGCTTGTTTACAGCAATAGAAAAAGCAAAAGCATCTGCTGTGACACACCAGCAAAGAACCACAAGGGTATTCACATGGGAGATCAGCAATAAGAGAACAGACATGTTACACATGATAATTAAGGATACTCCATACATGATCTACTGACACTCCTGATAGGCAAACCCATTTAGAAACACTAAAAAAAATGTTTAGAAAAACATAGCTCTGGTTTACCTATCAAAACATTTATTTGCTCATGGCCACACTTCACACCACCTGATCCCAGTGATATGTGCAAAGGGGTTTCTGTGTTTGATGGGCAATGCTTATGAAATGGGCCACTTCATGGCAGGTCTTTGGCTTCTACCAGTATCTGTCTGTAGGGATAAGCTTTTTTATTGTAGATTCTTCCACTGGGAGTGTGTTTATTCCATGCATAAACTGTTAAGACTATGCCTCCAAAAATCAGGCTTTTTGAAAGGCCAGCTTGCACAGCCTAAGGGAACAATTAACTCAGGGTGTTTCAAGGGACAGTCTGGGGAATTTTTATTTCATCAATTACCGTAACCACCAAATCGGAAATAAATTATTCTGTCCCAGACCAATCTCAGAACCAGTAAGGTCATAGGCACCATACACTAAAACTGGACCAGTTTGCGGTATTATTCTACATACAGTAAGTGATCAGTGTCTAAAAAGGTACTAATTAGCATAACTCTGCATGTAGCACTGCAGCATTTAATAATTGTCCTGCCCAGTCCCAAAACACTTCACAAACATTAAAGAATTTAGCCTCAAACACCCATTGTGACACCTACCGTGTATTTTACAAATGGAGACTATAGCATTA